CACATCCAGAAATTCTAACACCTTGGCATTAAAACTAATCAAATCATGCAAATTCAAATTCGGAAAAGCGTGCACCAAAGAACCACCATGGAACCAAGGGTCCCATAGAAAAGAAATTGCACAGTGAGGCTTTAAATCAAAGCAGATATCAGATTTTATGCTCAAGGCCATTTTTCCGATTTCATTCTAGAGAGGGGAAGGCCTGCCTTGCACAGGAGTCCAAGGTTTACCATATTTAGCATTCAAAAAGTTGGAAAGAAGAGACTTAGAATTGTAAAACCTGAACAAAAGTCAGCTCAGTGTGGCAAATTGTAGACCATGTAAATCAGGGATACCCAAGCCACCATTTATCTTTGGTTTGCAAGTTCTCTTCCAAGCAATAAGATGAAGCTTTTTAGCCTCCATATCCCCAAAGAACAAGAATTTAGCACACATTCTGCTCAGCAATTTGAGACAAGATTTGGGAATAATGGACCCTCTTATCCAATAGGCTATAGTATTGCAAACCGTATATTTAAGGAACTGAAGCCTACCTCCCATAGATAGTAATCTAGCTTTCCACCCAGCTAGGTGATTGGCTATAGATTGCATAAGAGGAAGGAAGTCAGATTTGGAGCATTTTTTAACCGAGATAGGCAAACCAAGGTAAGTCATCTTGGTACAAGAAGAAGGCATATGAAGAGCCTCACAAACATCCCAAGGATTAGAAATGAAGCTTGAGAGAATAATCTGACTTTTCTCATGGTTTACCAAAAGGCCCGAAACATTAGCAAATAAATCTAGCAATTTCGTAAGGACTGCACAGTTGCTAAGAGATGCTTCCCCAAAAATCAGAAGGTCATCTGCATAAAGCAGGTGAGATATGTTCATGCCTTGCTTATTAAACCCAATGAATTTATCCTGACTAGAGCCATTATCAATTAAGCAAGAGAAGGCATCCATTGCAATACAGAAGAAATAAGGGCTAAGAGGACACCCTTGCCTAATGCCTGAGGATGAGTTAAAGTAACCTTCCAGCACCCCATCAATGCAAATGGAGAAATATACATCAGAGATACAAGCCTTGACCCATTGAATAAAGGTAGGAGGAAAGCCTTTTTGTTTCATTCTGGCTAAGATAAAAGTCCTTGAAACAGAATCGAAGGCCTTACGAATGTCCAGCTTGGCACACATTAATTTCATTTTGGTAGCCTTCTTGAAGTCAGATAGGATTTCGGAAGCTAGAAGGATGTTATCCATGGAAATGCGATTCTTGATAAATCCAGCTTGATTGTCCCCAATGATGAAAGGCATGATTTCCTTCATTCTTGAAGCCAATATTTTGGAAATAATCTTGTAGAAAACATTGCAAAGGGCGATGGGCCTAAAATCTGAGATGTTGGAAGCATGAGAAGATTTTGGAATCAAAGCAATGGCCGTGGCTTTGGCTTTCTTAGGAAGGTACCCCTTAGAGAAAAAAGACCTCACTGCTTTGCACACCAGAGGGCCAGTAATAAGCCAAGTGGATTTAAAAAATTCAAAATTAAATCCATCCGGGCCAAGAGAAGAGTTGGAGCTCCCAAGAAAAATAGCTTCCTTGATTTCAACATCAGAAACAGCAATCGTCAGCAAATGAGAAAGATGAGATGGAATGACATTACCTTTGGGAATAGGAATAGATTCCAAAGAATTTGCAGGTTGTGTGGCATTGAACAATTTCTCAAAGTGTTGAATGATAGATTTAATGAGGTCTTGCCTAATAGTAGGGTCTTCACTAGCAACCAGAGTTGAGGGGCTGAAATTCCTTCTCTTCTTGAGCCTAGCATAGAGGAACTTTAAGTCATCTTCCCTTTTAGAGATCCATTTAAGTTTTGCACATTGGAGCAACCAATTAGTCCACGAGGAGGAGCAATCCAAAAGTTGGGAATTTATAGATTTCAGTTGTTGATTGAGATCATGACTTTGAGGATCATAATTTAACATACCAATGCAATGGGATTGTTGGTCCTTTAAAGAAGCAAGTTGGTTAGAGAGAGCAGGAATTTGCCCAATCCTGACCTTTAATGCTCTCTTTTAGAATTTTCATCTTTCTATACAGACCAAGAATAGGGTTCCCACTAGTCGGATGTGAGAAAATATTTAGGAGTTCAGCCCAAAACCCATTTTGCTTAGTCCAGTAATTTTTTAAAATGAATCTGTGTTTCAGCATACCTTGCTGGCCCATGGATAGCACAATAGGTGAGTGGTCTGAGCAAGAGGGAGAGAGCACCTCATAGAAAGAGGACGGAAAACTCTCAAGCCACAAATCATTAATCATCATTCTGTCCAGCTTCAAGTGAATGGGATCATTAACCCTTTGGTTGAACCAAGTAAATTTAAGCCCCTTAGAAGCCAGATCAGACAGACCCAAATCAAACTTAAGGGCATTAAAATCCCAAAGATGAGAAGCAAGGAGAGGGGTGCCACCTGATTTTTCATCAACATTTAAGCAGCAATTGAAGTCACCAAGAATGAGCCAAGGGGAACAGATGTGATTCCCCATATCTCTAAGTTTATCCCAAAGAAGTAAACGGTCAGCCGAAGAATTAGAAGCATAAACAACAGTGAGGACACAGAGAAAATCTTGCCCCCGAAAAAGGTCACCATAAATCAACTGAGTAGTGAATTGAGAAGGTCTGAAACTAATGAGAAGAGGGTCCCATTTAATCCATATCCTACCCGAGGAAGATAGATTAAAATTATGACAACTTTCCTCATTCTCAAAAACACAATGGTTAAGACGGAACCAGGGATCTGAAATAGAACTAGCATGAATTCTATTTTCCAGTATACAAAGCAACTCGAGTTTGGTGTCACGAACTAAATCTTTACAAGCCCTAACCTTATCCGGGCTGTTGAAACCTTTCACATTCCAAGCCGCTAAACAAGGTGGGATCATTGGGATTTTGAGGATTTGCTAGGAGTTTTTTTCGGTTGCTTACTCCTAGAAGCCTTTGATTGTGCGACTGTGCTATTGCGATTCTTATCCATATGCATAGTAGTGGAAGGAGGGGGCTTAGACTCACTACTACTTTCTTGGAGAAGAGCAAACTTGTTGGGTGAAATCACTTTGTCTTGCTGCCGAATGAAAGTAGAAGATGGGGGAATGGACTCCTCAGTTGGAGAATTAAGGTTTGGAATAGTAGTGTAAACGGTCTCAATTGTGTTGTTCAATTGTTGTGTGACCACCACCGACGGAGTAGAATTATTAAGCTGCTGAATATCAGAAGAAGGTTGAGTTGAGGTATCAGGGAGAACAGAATTCTTGTGCAATGCTGCAGTAGTGGATGAAGAGGGCACTATCTTAGGATCAGAAGCCTCAGCTGAGTGAACACTATGCAGAACGGGATTGAGGATGGGATTTTTGCTGGTCGGCCTTGGAGGCTTCCGACTAGTGCTTCGACCACGCGGCGGCTGAACAGTAGTGTTTGAAGATTCCGGCTTTGAAGGGCAGAAATTCGGAGTATGCACAATGGAACCACAGTGCTCGCATTGTACAGGTTTACATTCGTATTGGATGCGAAGAGAAAAAGGCTCTCCTAAGATAGAGAAGGGAATGGATTCGGGATAAGAACATTCCTTTGAAACCTAAACACAAACTCGTGCATAAGTTAGCCTGGTTTTATCGGCTGTAAGATCATCAACCGCGATCGGAGTACCTATTTTACTAGCAATCCGTGAAATTCCTTCCGGAGTCCAGCAAGGGAGAGGCAAGTCGAGAATTTTAAACCAGATAGGGATGGACGTGAACTCTTCTCGCACAGGCTTGAAGTTAGGCACCCATTTTTGGAGCACGAATGGTTTGCCAAGAAAGAACCACACACCTCCGGATAAAGCCATATCGTAATCTTCATGCGCAGTAAATTTCAACATAAAGAATCCATCGCTTAAGGAAAGCAATTTCATCATACCTTTGAGCTTCCAAAACTTACACATAGCCGATAAGAGGGATTCGTAATACGGACGTCGTCCGATGGAATAGCCGATCAGCGCCAGACCCCATTCGTCCGAAGCGGCTTTGACATGCACTTCATTAAACTCCAAGGAATCATCAGGCATGACCGAGGAAGAGAGCTTCAACGCGTAGCTACAGCAACATCGTAGCTTCTCGTCGCCCTGGGAGCACTTTTTTTTTTCAAGACATGATCAAAAATTAAACAAAACAAAACATTAAATTAGGGACAGTGTTATTGTCAGAAACAACTAAAAAGATGTTAGATGATTAGAAAGAAGTTGAACACATTGCGGTTAAGTGTTGGGGAATGCTAGTTATTCGTCATGATTAGTTGCGAATCGTAATGAATTTGGGTACTTCACGGCTGCAGGTTACTCTGCTGAGAATTGGAATAGCACCAACGTTGAGCTAAAAGCCACGCTCTGTTAAAAATGTTATAGAACTATGGATGTGGAAGGCCAATGATATCATACATGAAATTTACAACAAGAGCGACATCAATTAATTCAGACAGAGTATGACAAGTCCTACTTGGACGATTAGACCTTCGAATACCCCATCACTTGGCTTCCTCAATGACTTCAAACAAGTTACTTTTTCAGTTTGTCCCTAAAGTTTGTACTAGATAGCTCAGTTTTAGCACATTTTAGACTAAATAAGTTATATTAAAAAAAGAATATATCGGTAATATTCTTTGTAATTTTTGTTTAATTTGATGGATACGAATAGAACTGTACAGTGATAGTTGATCTACTTGTTTGATTAATGATATCAATGCAACTTTTCAATACAAAAAAAACAGTAATCAGTTAAATTAGAACCGTTGATTAATGAAAACAAAACTAAGTGCTCACCCTCTAAATTTTACCTGCTTTTTTTACATCCTGCACGAGTTGCCAATATTGCATTAAAAAAGGAGCAGATGAGAAAGTCATGCACTGGTCAATGCATGACTCTAGATCTTCTAGCAGGATTAGGAGTGAAAAAAAAGATAAAAATAAAAAAGTAATTGAATTTCAGGGAAAAATAGACTGCAACATTTCTTCCACATTAAATAATAAGTCATAGATTACTTCATAAGGAAAAAGACACGTGATCAAAAGAGTAGAGGATCATAGAATGAGCATAGAACCACAATAAACAGGAACGTCTTATTTTAGCATGACATATTTTAAAGAATAGAACAAGCAAACCATAAAAATCTCGAAGTTTCATTCGATCAAGGTCAACGATAGAAATGAGAAGAAATGATGTTTGTAGCCTGCAGCAGATGCCACAACCGCGAACCTACCGCACACTACACGGAACCATGTATCAAGAGATAAGGTATTTATAATTCCAATGTGTAAGGATGTGTCTTTGCTAAAATTGAACCAAGCAGCAAAACTAGCCCTGTATCTTGAGATGCGCTTTACTAGCTCATTGGATTTTACGAAGAGAATAGTAAAATCCAATTACGACAAGCAGAAGAGCACAAATAGCTGCAGGAACAGCCCATAGCCAATATGAATGTTGCTTCTTCTTCTTCAGGAGGACCTTGGGCATTTGGTTCTGACCTTTCGCACGACCGCGTGAACGAATTGATTTCTCTTTAAACTGATCCTTGACCTTTTCTGGTTTAGTGGAATCAGTATTCACATTAGTTTCTTCTTGCAGCTCTGGTTCAGCTTCCTTCGTCTCACTTTCTGATTGCTCACCATCAGCAGGTTGTGAAGACACCCCAACTTTCTTTCTAGCCTTCTTCTCCTTTTCCTGCATAGAAGAAATGAAAAGATGGCAGGACTCAGTACTAAAATTCAATCACCGGGTATTGTCATCAGCAAAAGAAAGAAAAAGAATAACAGATAATGGATAAGAAAAGCTTACCTTCAGCTTCTTTTCAGCTTCCTTTTGAGCTCTGACAGCAGCCTTAGCAGCTGCTTTCTCCGCTAACTTCTTCTTCCGCTCCATGGCGGACTTGGCCTTGGCAATCTCTTCCTCTCTTTTTATCTCTTTCAGTTTTGTTGGATCAATCTCATCGGATTCTGAGTGCTCTTTCGGGAACTTATCAGCCGCAGAGGGGTTTTCAGCCTCGGGTACTTGTTTTAGCACTGCTACTTCGACTGGTTTCAAAGTAGTTTCTTCTCGAGTCCTGCGGGAAGAGACGGCTTCATGCCTGGGAGGGATTACGTTCCCCTTTTCCTTTTTTGTTGAGCTGGTTTTAGATGGTTCTTTCTCTGCTTCAAACTTTTCGATACTGGCTTTAGCCGATTCTTTCTCTGGTACAATGGATGATGGGGCCACAGAAATAATTGGTTTCTCATCAGGGTTTCTCATTCGCCCGTCCCTGCTTAACTGCCTCGCATCCAATGAAGACAGGATCCTTTTTTCATAATCATCTCTAAAAGCTTTACTGCTACTCCACTGTGTCATGAATTTCTCTACCTGAAAGGATTTGCAAAGTATATTACGAGTAATTTCAATAGACAGCCCAATGGAAATATAAAGAGTAATTGCACAACAAGACAAACCTCGTTTACAGAAAGCTCTTTAAGTGCCGATATATTCTTGTTTATGGAAAGTCCCTTCACATTGTTCATAAGTGAACGGTATTGAAAGAAACACGCGTTCTGGAATCAGGAAAAAATTGTTATCATCATTTGCCTTATTTCCCACAATCAAGTCGTATTGAATTAGCTATAGATATAGAATGTTATGAATCAATACAAAATTGAGGTAACTCTTTAATTAGTACTAATACAAGACACCTCAAAAATGCAATTTGGTACCTAGCTTGCAGGACTCTAAAGCAGTGTATCCTTGCAGGGCCGTAGGAAAATACTTCCTCAGAACAGGCGCCAATAATCAATTATCAAACTTTAAGACCAAATGTTGCAATCAGGGAAAATAAAATGGTCTAGCTTATGTCAAAGAAAATTTAAGTAATTAACGAAGTATCACAGCTAAATGCAATCAAGAAGATACAAGTAGAAACTCGAGAAGTAACATAGCAAATGTCTTCCATCCAAATGCGCAACATGCCATGTCCAAAGAATAAGAATAAGATCAGTACTAAAAAATAATGCTGTAGATGGCCAACTAGCATTGTTTATTGCAATTAATTGCAAAATTACTGCAGCCGAAAAGCTTATTCAGCTAAAAAAAACGATACAATGTCGGAAAAACATAGAGAAAGAACAAAGTTATTGGTATGAATTCATGCACTTATGGAATTTTATAAATCATAAATCATACTAAATGAAGCAGTTGAAGGATAGAACATAAAAATATCAGAAAGCAAGTCCAGGCTTTGCTTCTTAATATAACATGGCAGACATTGCATTGGATAAGTGGATGAGTTAGAACGTCTATGTTGGTGCTGGCAGGTGATACAAGGCATGAACCAGACATTTCTATATAATCCTGACTCATGTCTTAGGGCACTCATGTAATGACAACAAAATCTCATTTGAACAATATTTAACTAAGTTTGAATGATTCTTTTGAACAAACCTCAAATAACTAGGAAAAACCATTAATGATGATGATACTCATCGTGTTTACACTTGCTGGTGAATGTTACAAGGAATTAAAAATAAAATTTGACCCAGTAAGACCATGCGTGCTTTTAAACCATAAAAAAATGTCCAGTTCAGCACGCTTTAAAACATGGGATACATAAGTACAAATATTTAAAGAATGGACTGTAGTCGATAAATTTCATACAAAATTTGTATGACACTTGAACGGATTGTAGTAATTCAATTGCATCTAGTGGTTCAGCTTCTTAATATAACAAACCTGACATTGTATTAAAGAAAAAGGAATATATGGATGAGTTAGAACTTTTATGTTGGTGTGCTAGCAGGTAATACGAGGCACAGGCCAGCTGCCGTCGGCTATGATGCACGGACACAGACATGACACGACACGGACACGGGACACGGCTTTTTTTGAAAATATAGGACACGGGTACAGCGCGGACACGGCAATACATTTTTTTATATAGTATATATATATATATATATATATATATATATGTAATATCATATTAAAAATGACAAACAATAATAAATGAATGACAAGATAACTTGTCTAGCTTATAATATAAAATATTTAGTACAAAATATCTAGTACAATTTCGGCGTGTCCGACACGTGTCGGAGGAGTGTCGGACGAGTGTCGTGTCGGACACGGTGTCGGACACTGCACGCCTCTTTGAGGAGAAGTGTCGGTGCATCATAGGCCGTCGATCTCTTCTTCTTCGTCAGCACATTGACGACAAAATATCTTTCCACTCTGTAGATCCACTCATGGGCATCCTCTCCCTCAAAAACAAGCATCTTCAACCTCCTCACCCTCGAATCTCCTCCGTTCCCCATGTTTCCTCCATACCTCTCATTCCCCAAGTGAGTAGTCTCCCCAAGTGTCCCAATCATCCCTTCTACACTCATACCCAAACCCTTAGTCAAAATCCCCTCTCCTTTCAAAATAAGCACCTCTCCGGCCATTAATCAGTCCCTCTTTATTCAAATTCAACGCCCCTTTGTTAGTACGCAACCCCCTTACACCCCTCACCTTACATTCTACCTATCTCGTAGGAAGGGCTCTAAAAGAGGTCTTCTTTTTTCTCCCTCCAAGATCTCTACCACTTGTCTTTTTTTTTTTTTCTTTTTTAAAATCTCCGCCTCTTGTTTTTCCCCTCTCCTTATTGGATTAGGGTTCTACTCACTACCTTAGCTGCCCACAACTCCCCTCGCCTTCGATGACACCGTTTTGGTTTGGCCCTCAAGCAATTTCTTCATCAACTCCTCCATGATGGTAAATTTACTATCGATATTCTCGTGGACAGCTAAAATTTAAGTTTAAAAATATAAAATTTCAAATTTCAATTATCCGATATCTCCATCCAACACTTCTACTTTCTCCCATCATAGATACCATAATCTAGGCTCCAAACATCAAAAAATAACCAAAAACAGTGAATATGGTCTTCAAAGAGCAAAAATCAACAAGATTGAAGAGGAAAACACAGCAGAAATCAACAAAATTTATATTTTAGCCTAGGACACCGCTCTGATACCAATTTAATGAGAAGTAAATGCAATTTCATCAAAAATTAGCGATTGACACAAGAAAATTGGGAAGAACACCTGAGAATAATTTTTATTGAAAGAATTATGAAAGAAAATACAAGATAAATTGGATCTTAGATCCGGCTCTCTCAAATCCCTAGTTGTCGGCTAGAGCCCTCTCACCTAAAAAAACTTCAATTTCAGCAAACCAAAACAAAAAAATTGAGCCCTTGGGTAAACAATCTACTTAAAACATGCCAAAAACATAGGAAATGCAAAACAGAACTCTCCATTTGAATTTACCCTCCTAGCCGCCCCCTTTCCTTTTTTTTTTAATTTCCCCTAGGTCCCACCCCAAAAGGGGTGGGATTCAACAGAGCAGAGTCCTGCTCAAGGTCACGTAACATTTGACCTGTCCAAGAGGGACTGATCTGACACAAACCTCAAATAATTAGGGAAAAAACAAATAACAATGATGATACTCATCGTGTTTACACAAGCTAGTGCATGTTACTAGGAATTAAAAAGTAAAATTTGACCCAGTAAGAGAATGCATGATTTTAATCTATAAAAAAGAGTTCTAATTTAGCACTCTTTAAAACTTGGGATATATCAATACAAATATCATAAAGATCAGATTGTAGTAGTTAAATTGCATCTAGTGTATACTCAAGATTCCAAATTTGAGTAATGGAAAGCGTCAACAAATATTAGAGTAAGACTGCACACATCTTAGGGTATCTCCATTCACCTGGTACACCCTTTTTTTGTAGAAATAGTTTAGTAGCCTTTTCCTGTTGGGTTGCTGTTAAGCTTATTGATCCATACCAAGGAGGAGGTACCTTTTGAGTAGGTATAAACTCCAAAAGAAGAAGAGAGATTAGAAAGGGAGAAATCAGAATTATCTCATTTCATAATCTTTTCTTACAATAAAATGCATATTTACAATACTTGGGTAGACCAAATTTACAATATATAACCAGTCTACCTAAAACAAATTAAAAATAGAATAAAAGAAAGAAACTAGAGATTATTACATATGCAGACCCATTTGTCATTTACGAAATACAATATGTTAATGTCTAACACTCATCGCCATGGAAAGCAACTTTGCGCTCGAGTTTGAGAGAAGGAAAAGATGAAAAGAGGGCTACAAAATTTTCCGATGTGACATCCATTGCAACAAAACTGACCGTGAAGTTGTAAAAAGGTAAAATGAGAAAAAGGTATAAGGAGAAATCCAAAAAGACCTTTATGAATAGTTTGATAAACAATTTTAGAATGTATCATAACTTATTGAGATATTAAAATAAAAAGAAGTTTGGAAAAAAAAACTCTATGTAATTCATCTAAAAATTCATTTATTATTGGAATAAAAAATTTATATTGAATGGTGAGTATATTAAGAGCTCTAAAATTACTACAAAATGCCAAATACCATCCTATTTTAGAACAAGCGATATTGGAATAGAAAAAGAGCATGGATTATGACAAATAATGCCAGAGTAAAGCATTCCAGAAACTAATTGTTCCATAGCATCCTCTTAAAAATGTGTAGATCATACGGATGGATATTAACAGGTTTGAGATAATAATGTAAGATGAATACGATATTCAATAGTACGAGATGGAGGTAAAACTTGTGGTTGATGAAACAAATGTTGAGATAGTGTTATTAAGGTAGAATTGGATAATAATAGATGTTGTATAAGAAAAAAGAAACATGTCGGAGAACCAAGCGGTTGTGAAGAAGCAATTTGGCAGGCGGAACCATATTCCGGCGAAAGAGGAAGTATCTTAATGGAGTGAAGTATATGGACGGTCAATACACAAATTATCAAGTTTCTTATTTATGAAATCCTTGAAAGCATGGATTTGTTGAAGGGATGAGCCAATGGAAGCAAATTGAACATTGACTTTTTGTAGTTATTTCTGAATTTCGAAAAATTGGCATTCTTGATAGCTTGCATGTATCATAATGCGTCATCCAAATCAGAATTCTGCATGGCGATGATGGAAATTGGAAATATGCAATTCTTGAGAACAAAAAAATTGGCACCTGATGCTGTATTGAAAAGAAAAATTGCACAAGGTGGAGGAGCGGCTGATGGCAAGAATCCGTAGGTCTTGAAAAAACTGCAGATGGAGTTGTTCTAATGTTCTAGAATGTGAAAACTGCAGTTCTTGAATAACAAAACTGCAGCTGTTTGGTCTTGATAATGCAGGTCTTGGAAGGTTAAAACTGCAATTCTTGAGACAAACAATGCCTGAAACAAGATGGAATTATTAAAGATTCAATGTGCAGTAGAACGATCAAAAGGAGATATCAAAACAGCTGCAAGAAGTTGTTTCTTGTCTAAATAAAGCAGGGAATGTGGCTGAACTGAGGTGTGCTGCTTCTTGAAAACAAAAATTCTAATAGTGTAAGTGTTGTGTCTAAAACAGTGGCTGAAATAGGTGGGCTGCTGCTGTTAGTGACAGTCTTGGGTGGAGCAAAAGTAGCTGAGACAGCGACCGGAAGAAGTCTATGCAGAACCAAAGAGCCATGTCCAATATTGCTGAAGAGCGCGGCTGGAAGCTACGTTTGGAAGGTTGGGGCTCTTTGGTTGACTGGAGATTGTGGCAGGGAAAGTTGATTTCTTATTTTCTGATTACAAAAATTATTCACAGATTTTTCACATTTGTATAAAGGCATTGGACCTTTAGCCTTTATTTTTTCACATTCTTCTTTTGAATTTTTCAGTCTTCTTGGTTTTTTGTCGTGCAACTCACGTACTTCATTGCTCAACCCTGTCTGTGTGTTGCCACCATATTTAGGAGTCACAGACAGAGAGAGAGAGAGGGCTAGCATATTACTGGAAGAGAGCAAAGAATAACAAATGGCTATGGCGAAGAAAGACTGCTGAAATAGTTCTCGGCCGCAGAGGCGGAGGAAGAGGTTGGGATAAGCCTTATTTCCCATCCATAATTATAACTAAGAATCCAAGTAAATCCTAAATTTTCCTCTGCGCGGAAGCATACTACACATCTTTCCCCCATTGCACCCCGTGCTCGAGGAACCCTCTATTAATTATTCAGGCAAATTTCACCTTCCAATGCTAATAGATAGCCAAAATAATTCTTAGATGTATGCTATTTAAATATGGGTAAACGAACTCGAAGGTTTCTTTGGTGAGCGTATCAGGAGAAAAAATAGCATGATTTATCCATATAAAAATACTTAATTTTAATCTATATTTAATAAAATTTAAAAATTATCTTTATTTTAAAATTTCATTTGCAGTTATTGATAAAATTAATGTAGTATTCATGATCTTTTTAAGAACTAAAATTTTATATTAAAAATAAGATTACTTGATCAAAAAGTTGCTCCAAATAAGTTAATGCAAACAATGATTAAAGGTTCCAACACTTATTTCGAGCTCCCTGACTTACCATTTACAAATATAATCTCTTTTAAAAAAGTCATCATCATTGTTGTAATTATTATTATAATTTAAGATTTTATGCATCATAACACTTCATTTCTTATAAGAGAAGTCACAGAATATATATATATATATATTGAAAATACTTTTAATAAATTATTAAGGGTAAGATGTAACAATAGGCACCAGGAGTAATTACGGCACAAAAATGACTGATTTTGACATATTTATTGTATCTGTCCAAGAGAATTTCACCGCTAAACCAAAACCCTTTAGGTTAACGTGACATTGACCACCAAATATTGTTATATCCTAATAGAATTAGTAAAATGCCCTCGTAATAATAAATGGTAGGCAAATTTTTGTGCTTAAAGCTAAATTGCGCCTACAAAAGAAAGAGTATAACTGTTTTTTTCTCCACGTTTAAGGACAGAATATTTAGTTATAAAAGAAAATTAACTAGCTAATATAACGTGTTATAAAGCAATTGTCTGCCCAACTGTGTAAATCAATGTCAAGCAGAACCTTGATCTAATCGTAGTAGCCAATATGATACCTTTTCTGAATCTTTTCTAGTTAATTGTCTTATCAGAAAGAAGTGTAAAATAATTTGAAATGGCAATGAAGCTGACCATGTAATGTTTCACTACAATTTCTCAATAATAGCAATTTTATTGAAACCAAAAAGTTTTCAATAAAAATGAAAATATATGAAAGAAATCGACATCTCAAAGTCAGCATCTAACTGAGAGAATGAAAACTCCCAACTTATACGAAGGAGATTCCTTTTACAAAAGCTATTTTTATGAAAAAGGTCAAACCATGCACCTATAAAGCTTTTTTTAAGAAAATGGTCACACAACGCACCTAATATGCACCTATATGCTATACACCGAAGTAATACCCTTACTTTGTGTCATTTAAATTGATCCATATACAAGTCTGTATTTCAGTATTATGCCGTAGTAAGAGGATATGAATACTCGAGAAATTATCATAACCCAAATCTAGCCTGCTTACAAAACTACAACATAAAAACTTAAATTCATCAGTCTCACAAAAATATCAAAATTTAAAACAAACCCTAACTCATATTTTCCACTTAGGTCAAATACCCAATGATTTGATCATTTTGGTGGTGTGCACAAATTTTCAAAAAGTACAAAGTAAATAACTAACATTGCTCCCAAGTTTAATTGCATTTTCTATTAAAAAAAAAAAGCCATAGTGCCTGAGCAACTGCAAAATAAAATTTTGCGTCATTTAGAGATTCCATTTTATGCCACTCTACATATCACATTAATGCCATGTGATAATACAATCTTCATTATTAAATTTACCGCAAACTACATAGTCAGCATTGTCTCCTCATTCCTCATCTATTCCTGTTGAATTTTTTGTGAGATATTAAATCTATTTTGCACAAATTTCATCCATGCTACTTTTGATATACTCATTTTCCTTTCCAAACTTCCTGCTAATTATTCTACCTACATTACTTCGAGCTTTCACCCTCTGTTAGACATGCCCAACCACAGGCCTATTTTTTACTACTTCGTAACGCTACCCCTACTAATTGAGTCGAGATGCTTCATGTTTTCTATTAGTACATTGATGATTTAAATTATTGTTTATTTCATGATTATGAAACTTTTTGCATTAAATGAATGTTGATGGAGATCATTTGGGTGAAATGGGTTCATTATGGCATGGCTGGTTGAAGAAAACCTTTCACCCTAATTCTATTTCCTCCTCTCCAAATTCTGCTAAGCCACAGCCTCTTCTTCTATCACCTAATGGCTGTCTAAACCGAATATCATACTCTCCCTCTTTTCTCTTCTCATCCGTAGCCATCCTCTTTTCTCTTCTCATCCGTAGCCATCGCCTAGCTTCTACCTCAATTGCCCTCTCAAATTGCAGTATCATTGAACTTCCCATCACTTCTACCTCAATTCAATAGAAATTTCCAGCCAGAGAGGAGTAAAAATTGGATGAAGTTGACCAATCTGATAGCAAATTGCATCAATTTGATATAGAGCGAATGTTACCACATGTATCAATGATCATTTGTTTCATCCATAGTTTCTCTGATTCGTTTCTTCAGACTCTCTATTTACTCATTCCCTTTAAGTGTCTGTTGACTTCGTTCATTAATTTATTGCTTCTTGTGTTGGTAGCTCTCTATTTGCTCAATACCTGATATTTAAAAATACTTGATTTCTCTACTTGGTGAAATGTTAAGCATTAACATGTTTAGAGGAAGAGGTTGGCTTAGGGAGCCATTAGGAGAGTGGGAAGAAGGTCATGGCTTGGCTGACCATAAAGAGAAACAAAAACTCCTTGCTCCTTGGAAACTCCTTGCTCCTTGGAAACTCCTTGCTCCTTAGTCTATTCTCCTCTCATGCTTCCCCCACCCATATCCATTGTTGAAAAGCTACAATTTATTTCTCCTTCTATTATTTGTTGTCTAAATCTCATTATGTCCCCTTCTTTCACTCTTACTCATGTCCATCAACTAGCTTCTACCCAGTCCCTCCTCTCTAAAAACATCACCCCATTGAACTTCTAATGGTTACCTCTCATCATCATCAAGGTTTCAAGCCATGGGAGTGGAAACTATATGACGATTAGTGATCCATCATAATTGAATCAATCAAGGCGTGCATCACCCACTATCCCTCTAATATATCTAATTTCCTATCAGTCTTTGATAGTTTTACCACATATTCATCTTAACATTCTCTTTATCACCACGCCCAATTTTCCTATTAAGGACATTTTAATTACATATCACCAAAATTCATGACAAATATTAATAGAAATTATCAGAAATCAGTTTGAACTAAAAAATCGTGGTTATATATGGTTACATTTTAAAACAAAATGAAGCAAAAAAACATGACTTTTTTTTAACTACTACAAAAAAAAAAAAATTCTTTCTAACAATAAAATACAAGAATAATACCCAAAAAATTAAGCAAATAACTAATACTATTTTTTAAACTACATCCGTAAGGAAAGAAAAAAAGTGTCAGACTCTAAAATATTAAGTGCCAAAAGCGTATATTGTTAAACTGTCCAAGTAACATGAATAGTCTCAAATAAGTTCATATGAGAAGTAAGCAAATGATTCTAAATAGAAATTCAAAATCTTCTATTCTTTCCAAAAATGACTCATCATTTTATCAGCACAAATACAAATTAAAACGAAGATAAAGTTTTCATCCATGTCATCTAATGTCAAATTAGGAAATCCCATTTTCAGACTTGTACATACAAGGACTGTATTTCAACATGTTGAAGTGAACTGATATTTCAGTATGATTACATAAACTTAGAAAGGACTCTACAATCCAGTCTGTCTCTAAAACTAATCATAATACTTTTATAGTATGATTACTGTCAGGCAAGAATGCCACCATTAATTGGTAATTCAAGGATTACCGTCATTAGATATTACAATCTCAGAGAGAAAGGCTCCACATGTAAACTTCCTTTTTCTATTATATAGTGTAAATTGATTAAGCGCTTAAACATGGAAAATCAAAACATCAATGTTATAAAATCAAAATTGAGATATTCATGTGAAGTATGCTTATGAGCCAGATTTTACCGACTCATCTCGTTCTTTCCTCAGCAAGGTAAATGTTTGATATGCTTTGTCCCTAGTCTCATTGATAGCTACTAGCTCGCTTTGTAAGGAATCAAGCTCTGCCCTTACACCATTTAGCTTTTCCTCCAGATGCTGGATTTTTGCTCTGACTGCTTGTTGCTCTTTTCTTGCTCCATCAAGATCAGCACCTATTAGCTGAAATTTTTCAAAGTATTTAGAAAGATAGATTCTGAAGTACACAAGACAATCTAAATAGGTCAAGATGCATATCAAAGTGCATCAAAACAAAACTCACTTTGACTTGATCTTGGATGGCATCTTTCTGACCAAAAGACTCTTGAATCTTAGTCCTCAAGGCGGCATTGGCAATAACTTTCTCCCTTGATGCTTCAAGTTGTTTGATTTCTTTAAGCAATTGTTTCTCCATAGCCAAGGTGTTACTTTCATGTTGAATGCAGTACTGTAAGCTATGGATCTGAGGAAGAAGAAATGGATGCTTTCTTTACACCCGCTGAAAGGAAAAAAATAAAAAATTGCTTGATCAAGAAGTTAGCACTTACAGTTTCGTTAAGCTCTTCTTCTGAAGAGCATAAACCTACACCTTTTTCTGTTGCGACATTTTTTGCACCACGAAGCTTGCCCAAAGCAGTTTGAAGAGGCTCCATTTCCTTTCTTTTCCCATCCATAACTGCTCGAAACTGCCTTTCTTCTTCTTGCAATGGTTTTAATTGTGATATCAGATCAGCTTTTTCAGACTACAAAGAGTTGTAGAATGTCTTAGTGTAGTAATGTATCATATATTTATGTACCAGTAAAGGAAAAGCACCAGATTGTATTAAATAAAGCCATATATGATTGGCAAACCCTTTTGGTGCATAAGGTTGTAAACTTGCATGCTTCCAATATCATGGAAAGAAAAAAGGAAATGCAAGAATTGGGAACTAATCAGATCATAACCTACCCTTTTCTCCCTCAATGCCTCAGTTATCTGTATCCGGGCTTGAGTTTTCCTTTGAACCTCCCTGTCCGCATGTTCAATTTTTGTTTTCAACTTTATATCCTCATAAGACCTGTATCTAATAAAATAGAGGTAATGAGTTGGCTTATTTTCAGGCCACTCATCTACAGCATCCTTAGGGACTGCAGAATCAGTCACATGTTCAACTTCTTTTGTCTCTCCATTCACCACAATTGAACCATCTAGTAAATCAGACTTCTCCGAGACATCAGCCATAGTCATCCTTCTGTTATTTTCCATATTTCCTTCCTCATCAATTACAGTTTTTACCTGCCCAATTGTGATATCTGCCCCGAGTACTTCCATTACCATTTCTTTTTCTGACAAAGAATTGTGGAAGAACAAAGTTAAATTAGATTAAAACCTTACGAGAACAACCAAAATGCAAGACATACTGAAGTTATCTAGTCTAGAATTTAGTTGAATTAAGTAAGAAATCATTAGTGGCATTATTCATCAGAGGAAAGGTTAGAGGTTTGAATCACCACAAAAGGCACTCTGATCCAATCTACATTCAGAGAATCATTACTGTAATATCGCACATGAAGCTAATGATGCGGACTTATAGATAAGGAGAAGCTATTTCGATGTACATTAGGAATTTTTGTTCCGTTAACCATATGGTACCCATCAGGAGCCTTCTTTAAGTAACCTCTCTAGACATAAGCTGATTTCAATTAATAAACAGGAATAGATCACCGCAAAAGATTTTTTCTCATTAAGAGCATATCATGCATTACGCAAAAGATTTTTTTCTACAAATCCAAATAATGTATGACACAATTACCCATAACATTTTTCTTTCATATTACCCGAAAAAAGAAGGTTATCTTCAGCAGTTATCTACAAACAATATGCACTAAAAACACATGGAAATCACCCAAAGAAGTTTGGGAGAAAGTTTAATAAAAAAGAAAAAAGAATGAAAAAATTCTGAATCACGATACAGGGTCAAAAGAACGCTCCTCGGAAGAAAGATAAGATTCTCAATAATGCAAATAAGCGTATCCCAAACTAAAAAGGGGCGATCAAAACACAATTCATGGCAAAGAGAAACGAGGACAATAACAACACCAAAAACATTGCATGCTTGGTGACCAACAACAATCAGCAATAAAACCATATTCAGCCCTAAAATCCCAAGGTTGGCTACGAAAATCAAACCAAAAGCATTTCACAGTCACATACCAATCGCACAAATCGGAGGGGAAACAAAAGGAAAAAATGAAGCTTCCCGCCGGTTGGGACGGATCGTACGAATAAGATGTGAAATTATAATAAAAACTGCAGTTAGTTATTTCTTACCTAAGATCGAAGAAGATCGATCTGTGGGAAGTGGACTTCCTTAAATAGGCAAGAGAAGATGATCGGAGAAGAGACCGGTCTCAGATCTCCCGACTCCCCTCTCTTTAAGATGTCACAAGCGTTATAATTGTTTCACTGGCAAAAGACGTAAGAGGAGAAAGGAGACGAAGTGAGGACCTCTAGGGAGAAAGACCTCCGAGGACGGTGACGGAGATGGATACGAACCGTGGTTTCCTTTGGCTTTTATCTTCTTCCAATTTCCTCGATGCAGTGGAGTCTACTGAAGGATGAACACAACAAAGGTACCTCAAATTGTTACTCGGAGTGAAAAACGGACGCGTGGCTAATATGGTATATTATTGGAGGGTGTAATAAAAGCGTGGTGACTCGGGGCTGGAGACGCTGCCACAGTGCCACGAATGCTAAGCGGTGTTTTGAGGATGGCGGAGTGAATTTGTATATATCAAATTACAGTGATATAAAAAGATTTAAGTAATAGATAACTGTGAATATTAAGTTTGTGAAAATAGGATCAACAACGAATTGAAAGAAAGAGAAGTTTATGTTTCTACTAATTCGATCAATTGAATCGGAGTTGAACTAGATGATATAATAATTATTTTTTACATTAATAATAGTGATAATAAATGAGATTTATAGAAATAAACTAACTGCTTGATTAGATTTATAAACCGTCACTCCAGCACGCAATTGAACTACTTCCTAGACCATTGGGGCAATATGACAAACACCCTGAGTGCACCTGGCTTTTTAATTTTGCTTATAACAATTTGTACAGGAATTTCCACATCTGTTTCCAATTTGCTTACAATCTTCTCTTCAAATCAAGAATTCTTATTCAAACAATTACATTCCAACATTGAAAAATCAATGTCCACACTCGAGACAAGCGAATTAGGAACATAATCACTAACATGTAGGCTGATGCTCAGTTCCTACTCATGGTTGGACATGCCGATTGATCCTCATAAAATCCGTCCAATTCGGGTTGAGCAACGTCCGAATCTTGATTGACCTCTGTATCACATATGGACATGGCTGTGCTGTGAGCATCCAGATCGCAAACCATCCTAGATAAAGGGTTCCACACATCCATCCTGGTCTCGAGCCACCTCAGCCTCAACCTTCACTTTAAATAAGAAAGGCCTTTGAAGCATCGGTGATATCGTTCCAATTGGCCGCCTGAACCAAGCTCGAAAGCTTATCCTTCAATCCAGCATCTTTCGACTCCTCCAGCTCGACGGCATCCAACCCTTCAATGTTGAGGACCTTCCAGTAGTTATCTTGCCTTGAGTCCTTGCTTCTTTGAAATCCCTCTCAACTCGTCGGCCTCCAAGCATTCCATTGGCTGCATGATCACGAATCATATGGTTTTTTAAAATTGGCATTGGTTTTACAATTACACAATCGAATCGTTAATCCGATGATTTTTTTGTTGTTGATTTTCTGCAAGACCGGTTATTTGATGGAACCAAATTAGCCAGCTGACTAGTTCATGGTTCAACTGGCTGAACCGACCGGTCCTGTCCGATTTTAAAACCTTGGTAAATATAGCTCATAAAAAAAATGAAAAAACATTATGTATAACTTTTAAAAAATAATATCTAATTGACAAAAAAATTTGATCAGATATGAATCTAAATATAATATTTAGATAGAGAACATTCAAAGTTTAATTCAATGCTAGCTAAACTCTAATTTTAGTAAACTTATTGATGATCTAAATTCATTAACATTAAAATTAATTTGATCCAAATCCAACTAAGTCCAAATCAAATACTTGATATACAATTGAAATTGTGGGACAATAATTTGAAGATCAAATAATATGTGATCTTTACTCATAATCAAAATAGAAAATTAATGAGAGAAGTCTAATGAACTCAATTATGAGATTATTAAGGCACTTAAGCGCTGAAAGAATAATATATGATCAAAGAAAAAATTAAGAGCCACCCGATTAATTAAGTTGAGACTTGATAAAATGAGTGAGACACTACTATCAAAATTATGAATAGACTCTCATTCCCTATATGAAGGGAATCTTTATTTTGGAGCTTGGGGCCAAACATGAAATTAAAGTTGGAAATAACTCTACCTAATTATTTATATTACTAACCACCACTATTGGCCATTGTCATCAAACTACCAACATCTAATAATCTCTTGACCACCATTTTCCTAACCACATTCTCATAAACACCATCATTGAGCTACTATGGATTATTGAAAAGTTCGTATAGGTTGTTAGACCTATGCAATTGTCCCAAGGCTAACCAAGAGGGGGGTGAATTGGTTATTTAAAAATTCTTGATAAATTTTAGGAAAACCATTTAACAATTTTCTCAACTTGATTTTATTTAAAATATGTTTTTCAACCACAACAACAAATTACTAAAAATAAAATGCAAAAATATAAAATGAATACAGTAATTTATAGTGATTCGGTCCAATAAGACCTATATCCACTCCCTGAAGATTCCCACTTCAAATATTGCACTATTACAAAAGTGACTCTTCTTTTTCCCCCACAATAAGGCGGAGAAGCCTTTACAATTTTTCTCTCTTTCACTAATTACCGGTGCGGCAGAGTACCGTCGTCCTTTTACTTCCTCCAAGTGTCGACAGAGTATCGTTGTCCTTTCACACCCTCCAAGTGTTGGCAGAGTACCGTCGTCCTTTCACACCCTCCAAGTATTGGCAGAGGACCGGATCTTCTCCAAAGATCTTCTCTCGAGCAACTAGAAAGAAGAAGGAAGAAAATTAACACAAAAATAAAAGAGATTTTCACTTTGAGTAACCTTGTGAATTATTCACACTCCACTTGCAAGAACTTTCTCTCAAACACTCTTCCAAATCACCTTTTCACTTTCTCTTAAAGAAATCATGAAGACTAGATTCATCCAAGTCAGTTTCTAAAGATTTTTTATATGAAAGACACGAAAAACCATCCAGAAAACTAAAAATTTTAATTTTGAGTATCTACGATCATACAGTACGATCGATAATTATCCCGAACAAATAATTCAAAATTTCCTCATACGATCCTATATGAAAACGGCCAAAGATGAAATAGCTTTTCATATAATGTTATTTCCGAGGTGTCATTTCGTACATGCTTTTTGACCACTCGATCTTATAGATAAACATGTGTTCATTCGTGATGATCATAATATTTAAGATAATTTTAAAAGCGGTTAGGTTTGTCCCCTATAGAAACTGACATATGGATCATACAGATAAAAATGATATCCTCTAGGATGATTAACAATAAATAACTAAACCAAACTAGTAAAAGTGTCCCCACTCATACGTACAGACAAACCCATGCAAAATGTATCATATGATGACATCATCGTACATTACAAAACCTATGAAAATCTAAGTTTCACATACTCAACTCCTTGAATTATAATGTATACGCTATAGAATTCGTACATGATGAATATATATTCGTACAATACGAATAGAACACAAATATAATACATGAAAATTAGACAAAATTCTCAAAATCAAGTGACATGCTTTCAGTTTTAACACACAAAATAAATAAAAACAAAGCAAAACCCCAAAAATAAGAAAAACCAAAACACATAAACAACAAAACAAACAACCAAAAATAAACTAAAATAGACACAAACATAAAACATAATAAGTTTGCAGAAAATTTAATTTTAAGTATTAAGATCAATCACACCTAACCTTATCCTTAAGATACTAAATATGTCAAAGGCTAGCATTTTTTAAAAAATATTTGCAAGTTAATTTTTTTGTAAAAATGTGATTCAATTCAATTTCTCCTTTGGCTATATGATCTCTAATGAAGTGATGTCTTATATCTATATATTTGATTCTCGAATGTTAGATATGATTCTTTGAAATACAAATGGTACTAGTATTATCACAAAAAATAGGAATTGTAACAATTAAAAATCATAAATCAATCAATTATTATTTTAATCAAAGTGCTTGTGCCACACAACTTTCTAAGGCAATATATTTAGCTTTAATAGTAGATAGGGCTACAAAATTATGTTTCCTATTAGTCTAAGAAACTAAGAAATATCCTATGAATTAGTAAGTTTTAGATGTATCCTTCTGATGAACCCTACAACCTGTAAAATTTGAATTAAAATATCCAATAGTTTTAAATGAAGAGTTATACTTAGAATATAAAATCTTTAAGTTTTGAATTCCCAAAAGATATCTTAAAATCATTTTTACTGTTGTTAAATGTGATTCTTTTAGATCAGATTGAAATCTAGCACACAAATAAATATTAAATATTATATATGGTCTACTAGTTATCAAATAAAGCAATAATCTAATTATACCTCTAAATTTCTTTTGATCAATAGTTTTTTTTTGTTCTTATCCAACTGAACTGAGGAACTCATTAGTATAGTTACTTGCTTAGTATTATCTATTTCATATTTCTTAAGGATGTTCTTAATATACTTTGATTGACTAAGAAAAGTTCCCTCCTCATTTTGCTTAATTCTAAAATTAAAAAAATAATAATAACTCAAATCTCCCATTAAACTTTTCTCAAATTTACTACTCATTATTTTTGAAAAATTATAATAAAAATTTTTATTTATAGATCCAAAAATGATATTATCAATATATATATATATATATATATAATAAGTATGTCATCTCTTAATTTCTTTAAAATGAGAATGGTATTCATACTTCCTTTTATAAAAGATCTATTTAATAAGAAAGTACTTAATCTTTTATACCAAGTCCTAGGTGACTATTTCAATCCAAACAATATCTTTTTCAATTAAAATATATGATTAGGAAATTTAGAATTTTCAAACATGGAGATTGCTCAACATAAGCATCCTCTTGTATCACCCTATTCAAAAGACACTCTTAATGTTGAAACTTGTTAAATATGAATTAGGTTGTTAGACCTAAGCTTATGTCCCAATGGCTAACCAAGAGGGGGGTGAAATGATAATTAAAAATTTTATCACCCTTTTATAATTTTAAACCGATAAAAAACAATTTAAATCATTTAAAATAAGTAAAGGTTAACAAAATCCTAATTAGTTCAAGTCTTGCTACAGGGGTAAAAATCGCTTCAAAATTAATCCATTCTATTTTATTATACCCTTAGCCACACTTTCAGCCTTATTTCTAATCACAATTTCTAAATTATTCATTTTATTTTTGAACACCCACTTAATTCTAACTA